GCCTTCTTTTGTGTGCGAGTCCCAGATGCCGCGGGCGGAGCCCTTCTCCCCGAGGGGGCTTTGTTCCCGGACCTCCGGGCGAAGGAGCCCCCCCTGGCGGGAGACGCGGAGAGCTGGGTGGGGCGCCGGGGAAACCCGAGCCAGTTCTTCATTGTCCGCCTCGTTGGGGGGAACACGTGCATCCCGTCCGCTCCCAGGTTCATCCTTCTGATCCTGGGTACCCCGCGTGGGGAAAGTTAGGCAGCCGGCCCTACGGGGAGCCGGGTGTGTGTCGAGGACACTAGGCTGACTTGGCAGACAGAGGATGCACAGGCCTGGCGCCTCATTTTTTGGGAGAAGCTTTTGTCTGCCCTTCTGGGTTGCCCCTGGGAAGCTGCCCTCCGCTGAGGTCACCCCGTACTCCCTTCCTGCCTGGAGGTGTCACCCTTACCCCGGCCCCCTGCGCTGATGGGGAGCTGGTCCAGTGGAAAATGACCACATTGACCCAACTGCAGCGAAGGGAGAGCGCCTCCAGTGGCGTGGCGCGCGGAGAATTTGGATGGAGAGTTCGGGCCAAGTCCTGCCACCGCCCATCTTAATCCGGGTTGTGATGTGGCGACTCCCCACCAGCTCAGCCTAGCCCAGGCTTTTGGAATCTGGGCTGCGCGTTCTGACCCGGGCTCAGTTCTACCAGTCACAGCTGCGGGTGAACGGACTTGGAGAGAGCACAGTTTTTAACCTCTTAATGCAGCATAATGGAATCTTGGGGGGGTGGGGGTGGGGATGGAGCGGGGTGGGGAAGAAAAGGTTGATATTCTTTAAAGGAGGGGTAACCTGGATTACTTGCTTGGAATAGGCCAGTCGAATTTGTGGAAGATTTGCCGTGAGATTTAATATTTCAAAATAGACATTTTTATACATTGGTTAGAAATACCATTTCTTATATTTTAGGTATACAGACAGATCTGCATGGCTTGTAAATAGTTTTCATTATTACTAATTCTTAGGTACATTACTTATTACCTACTTCATCTTAAGTCTGCTTATTTTGAGAGCGGAAAAAAACTTGTTAGACATTTTAATAGACACATTATTAGCAAGTAGGTGGTTGCTTTTGATACCGTGCCCCACTAGCTGTAAGACCTTACTTTATGTATAAAAGGTCAAGAATCAGGTAGTCTGTCTGCACAGAAATCTGCAGAGCTTACAGGATTTTAACAGTGGTTCTTTTTTTTTTTTTTTTTTTAGAAAATATGCCTTGAGATCACAAAGGATTTTTTCCTCAACTCACTCCTGCCAATTGTGTTGTCAGGATAGCAGTTTGTTATTGAAGTGCCCCAAAGCAGTATGCAATAATCACTACCTAGAGAGACTAGGAGATGAGGAGTGACTGTTTTCTCTTTCTGAATCAAAAAGAATTTGAGAGAAGGTTAAAAAACAAAAGTAAATAGCAGTTTGCAAATAGGAAATTTCATGATTAACAGAAGCATACTAACTTGTAATCTCGTTTCCCTGCATGGGATCCGAGAGAAGAGATCTGTTCTTTGAACTAGTGTTTCAGGAGGTGACAGCATTCTCTTGGAATTTTGACTTCTGGAATACTAAATTTGGAAGATAAAGGAGAAGAGAATATTGCCTACTTAGGGACTCTGTGGTTCCCTAATTCTGTATTGGCAGTATCTATCTGGAACTATAGTTCCTTTAGAAATGCGGGAAAATTGTGATTAAGGCCAAGCTTAATAGTTTGCTTATTCATTTAACTGATTGTTGACTACCTACTAAGAGACAGGCACTGTTCTGTGAGCACATAACAATAATCAAGACACATGTGCTCCCTTTGGGAGTACAGATGATGAGCACATAAATGAAAAACCCAGAATACTGGAAAATAAACAGGGAGGTGGCATGGAAATAAGAACAGGAAAATGACTGCACATAGAGAGGCCTTTTTAGGTAGGGTGGTACTGAGAAAGATCTCTGAAGAGGAGAGATTTGAGCTGCAGAGACCAAATTTCCCAGAACTACTAGTAGGCAAAATACCTGAGGCAGGAATTAGCTTTGTGTGTTTGAGAATCTAGTCTAAAGACTTGATAAAAAACTGGGGAGAGTGGAGGATGGAGAGGAGAGCTTCACTTAGGTCATTTGGGCTTTCTTGCAATCCATGGTAAGAAGTTAAGCTTTGTAAAAAGACTTATTTTAGCAATATGCTTCTTAAATAACGAAAATGTGATTTTTGGAGCAACAATAAAAGTTGAAGATTTAGGGGAACTGGGACAATTGTGAGTTGAGACAAAGGAGGTGAGAAATCTAGTGTCTAAAATAAACTAGCATGACTGGAAAGAGGATTGAGGTTACTGAATATGGTAGGTCCTTGACATTTGTGTATTCACTTGTGTTTGCAGTTTACACTATCTTGGTGGAAACTTTAACTTCTATTCTTACCTTCTTAATTCACTTGTTAGGTTGTGATTTTGCTGTCGGCTTTTGTGTGTGCGGCATCCTTCTTCCAGTGCAGTCACTGAAGCTTCTCGATGGCCATATTTTCACAGAAGCTTTTGATTTTAAGTTGAAAGAAGTAGTTTTAAGTTTGAAGTAATGCAAGGGAAACTTATAGAAATTGAGTTGAGAAATGCCAAGCAACATTAAGGATGGCATTGAGCTCTTGACCCTTTGACATATTACAAAGCAGTACTAAGATTGAAAATATGTGGTGTATTTGGATTCTAAAGGCTATTAAGGAACTAGAGTTTTATCCTGTTTTTATCCCTGCTCCTGCTCTGCCATCCAGTTGCCCTTGTCTTTGATAATTTATATTATGAAGCCAAAATGTATGCACATGTAAAATGTTGATACTAGGAAGTGTGTCAACCTAATGTGTTAAAATGTCCCTAGTAAAAATGATTTATAAGCAAATTGTCTTTTAAAATTTACCCTTAAGTTTTTTTAATAGGTTTAGGCACCCATAATTTTTTTCTGATTCCAGTTTTTGCTTATTCTGTGTTTTTCTTATACTGGTGGGAGCATTTGATCTATTGTAAAGAAATTAGCCTTGTGTCTTAAATTTTTTCCCAATTTATTCCTTGTATTTAACTTTTGGGGGGGGGTTTTGACCCCCCTAGAAATTTTTATGTAGTCAGGTTTACCATTTTCTTTTATGATTTTTGAGTCAGTTTTACTTTTAGAAGGCCTTCTCTAATGCTGTAATCATTTCTCCCATGTTTTCTACTAATACTTTTGAAATATAATTCTTAAATTCTTTTGTAGCTTATTTTGTTTTACAGAGTGAATTAGTGATGTATTTTGTCACATGATTTGCTGTTAGTCCCAGCACCACTTATGAATCCTCTATCTTTATATGTTAAATGCAAATTTTGGCATATACTTGTAGTAAGGGTAAACTATTTTTTTTGTCTGATGCATAAGTGCCAAGTGTTTAATTTATTCCAATTTTTAAAAAGCAATAAAATCCCAGCTAGTAGGTTTTTTGCAGAATTACTTTTCCTAGCTACCTATGCATATATATAACTTTCTATCTCCATTTAAAGTTACATAGTCCCCTCTCTTTGTTGGAATTCTAACATTTATGGGTAACATTAAATGTGTAACATTTATGGATTTAGGGGAGAATTAGTAAGTTGTTATACTGAGTATATATTATCCATTTAGTAGTCTCTGAATCATTTATATGACCCACCAGTCAAAAAAAGTATTTTCTTTAATGAATAGAATTGTTACTGCTACCGCAGATGAAGACAACTTTTGAAGTTTTTTTCCAAACAGATTTGGAATTGTATGATTATATTTGTTTCCTTGGGAAAATTATGTTTTTTTATAAAACCAGGTTTAGTAGTGAGAATGGAGACAGAATGGAGATAAAAGATAATTAGAGGTTGTATTTAGGAGAGAGGAAAGGTTGTAGCATATACAGGAAAAACAAATCCGTAGTTGCAAAGGATTTTTTGTTGTCTAAGAAAAAAAAGAAAGTAGAGATATCTTGTGGTTGTACATTAAGGATAGATACATACTTTACTGCTTCTCAACTGCTTTTGTGAAAAGAGAACCAGGTTTGTTTGCATGTTTTTTCTCCTCACCTTTATTAACTAACTCATGAACTTGACTAATTGGTAGATGCCAGTATTTATTAATGTCAATGTTTTTTGAAAGCTCTACTTAAAGACCTAGTGTTGAAGGTTTTTTAAGCTGCTATAGTCTTTAATCACAAAAATGAGACTTTTCTTTTAAAAATTGTTTTCTAAGGTTATTAAATATGCTTAAACCTATATATGAATCCCTTTTTAGAACTTTAAAACTTGTCAGTTCACCTAACCAATATCATTAAATTGTAGAAAACTTGATTTCTTTATTAATTCTGATATTTTAATTGGGTATAAAATTTTGATACAGTATGTAAAAACATGCTTTTGCTTATAGAAGGTGAATTATGAAAATCAATTTAAAAGATCAAGTACGTATTTTATTATCTTATTTTCTTATAGGGCCTTTATACTACACATAGAATTAAAATTAGGGCTAACAATACCACTTTTGAACAAGGACTGA